GAGGGAGAAGGGTTCGGCTGGGGGCCGTTGGTGTTGTAAAGTTTATGAGAATGTGCGTGCGTCTGAGACAAGCGGAAGTAGCCCGGCACAGGCACAGAGCCTCCGCCGCCGCCGCCGCCGCCGCCACCACCACCAACACCACCACTGTCGGTGACTGTACAAGAAGTGGAGCCGAGGCCGGCTGAGCTTAACCTGGAATATGTTAGGTCTTCTGCCGTGGCGGCTTTAGGGCACTTGGGCTGCTCATACAGGCAGTAGGTGCTCTCTTCCTTAATGTTCTGCGGGAAAGAGCAGGGCGCGACCTGGGGACCTACCGGCTGCTCTTGATCCATTCTGCATGACCTCTGCGCGTCAATCCACATCTCCATGTTGGACATGTACGCGCCCGAGGCGGACACCATGTTGTGGGCACCCACATCGTTGCGCTTACCCATACCTGGGAAGTATCCATAGTTGTGTAGTCCGTAAGGCACTTCAGTGGAAGCGCTGTGAGGCACGCACACTGCGCTCCCTGCGTAGTGACCTCCGCCGCTCTCGCCGCGACCACTAATCAGAGAATCCACTAAAAACGCATTTCCTGACGGGCTGTCCGAACATGACATTATTGTGGTGTATTTTGGCGAAGGGAGCAGATAGCCCTTTCTGGCTGACATTTCTTGTACAAAACATGTTGGATATGATTAGCGGCAACCCCCCCGCCCCCCTCTCTCCGCCGTGCGCAATGAAAAACCAATAGAAAGGCTGGAAGACGGGCAGTCCCCGCCCACTCCAGGGCTACGTAGCAGTCAAGGCGATATCCATCATGGAGCTGAGGCAGGGAAAGGAGACAGCAGAGCAATCAGTGTATACCTTCACCTCGCCATTATTCCACAAGAGGCGAGGTCTAAGAGTACGCGAATTTTAAATATACCTTATTGAATGAACAGTCCATGAAAGCCCTTTTACACTTTAAAAAATAAAGTCTATAAATAAAATAAATATCTGCAGTCCTGTCCCTGTGCGGCCACAGCTTGACTAAAGACACATACTGACAAAATATAACAAAAAAAATCACAATTTTAAGACCTCAAATCAGAGCACAAAATGGGCTGTCATTTAATTAAACTTTATATTTGAAAAAAAGGATTTAAAGCCTTTCTTTACATGTGCCACGATACATAAAGAGAATTTAGCCCTGAGGTGGCAAGTGTAGTTTGAAAGTACAGGGGCTGTACTACAGCCCACCAACAAAAACATAAAATAATAAAAGGCTAGAACCTGGGTGCCATAAACCCTTCCAAACTGTTTGAACTGCAGCGAAATTTCGCCTTTGGCAAAATCGCTTTGCACAAAAAAAAAAAAAAAAAGTGGTGCATCCTTTACCCTGAAAATTCCGACTTCTTCCGCACTAAAGCAGACTTAAAATGATGCTGCCTTCAGGGAGTGAACAGCAAAACAGCAAACAAAATGAGTGAGTTCTTTTCCTTGATTTTCCCCTAAAGTATTCTCTACAGGTGCCGTCGTCTTAAACATGTTAGGATTGTGGCAATGGAAAAAAAAAAAAAAAAAAAAAAAAAAAAACAGTGTTAACGCGAACACATCCTTTATCATTAATCTAATGTATGTTCGACTATTAATATTTAGATTGTTGAAGTTTATTTATTTTTCAAAAGGTTGAAAATTACAGGGATTTAAAATGGGGTTTATGTGAAGTACTAATATATTTGACATTTTAATTAGGTTTTTTACTGCGATATGTTGTATTTCAATATACGTGTGGAAGTCGGTTTAACACGCCTCACGATAAATCGTTACGTTTTATTTAAAATAGCACAAATATAGTAGTTGTGTATTTTTATCGTGTATTTTCTTTTAACAGTTTGAGGATTAGGACGCTGTCTTCACCTCTTGTCAAAACAATGAACGAACAAAGTTAACACCACGTTATCCTTTTGGTTTAAATCTAATTAGGGTTCAAACATCGTCTCCATTGGCTGCAGATGTCTCTTTCTCTTTTTTAACCCAATATAAGCGCCGTTTATTGGAGACTCTGCTCACATTTACATTGAAGAAACTGCTGAAATATTGATCGCTGTGTGTTTCTGTGGAGCAGCAGCCGCTGCATGTGTTAGAGCACGGCAGACATAAAGCTCCGCAAATACAACTCACACTGTCGGTCCAATTTGGGGCAATAAGGGCCACAATAAAACTCTCCCTCCATCTCCTGGTGTCCTTGGACATGTGTACTCTATTGCTCTCTCTCCAGGTTGAAGTTAATCTCGGCCAG